TTTCAATTTGCATTTCTATTTAGGAACTGAGTCTCATCAAACTTAATAATTTTATTATTTAGTTTACAGGGCCAAGATTGAACTGTAAAGCTTATGTTTTAAGCCAACATGGACAAGAAGTCCCAAAAGTGCTCACAGTCACCAAATAATTAAACATCACTGTCTAAAATCACTCTTATTCCTTAAAAACATATAAAATAGACTCTCAATTGTTTGCTCTACAGCAAGCAGTAAGAGATATTGAGATATTGAACATTTTTAATATCAACATTTTTGTGTCACACAGCTGTAATTTTTTCATCTATCAAATGCAACATATTGTATTTTTAAGACAAATTGTACACATGCAATGCTACTTTTGTCTTTCCATTGTTGACATTTTTGAGGGAACTATATAGAGCATATATTACACACTCTTTTGGACACAAAATGGTGCAATGTAGTGCAACAGGGAGTAATTCTGGACAGCCCATTTGATGAAGCTGAAAGCTACAGAACAAGCGAGTAAGTTGACCTTGAGTTGACATTGTTTTAACAATGTAATCAATTCTGATGACAACTAGGGATATCTTTGAACTTTGGAAAGAGGCAGAAACAGTTAAATACTGTCTGACTCCAGTCTTTATGCTAAGCTAAGCTAGTCTAAATGACTCCGGGCTGGCGGATAAGCACATTTTACAATATGTCTAACTATTTATTTTAGCCAATGGATGAGAACTCTTACAATTTTGATAACACCTTTGAAATTTTTATCTATAGTTCTATGACAACTAAGCAAACTTTATCTGCTGATTGTTAAAAGCTCAAGTGAGCAATATTGTTTAGTCAACAGCTGTTTCAAAGGTTAGGAAAGAATTGTCAAACTTTACACAAAGTTCAAATTCAATTGAATTGAAACAACAACTTAAGAAATTCCCCCATCTGAAAATGACAACATGTCCTATCACTGGTATGTCATTTCATATAATCAATTCATTCCATGTGGTTGATCTATTCTTGTTTACACTGAGGCACCACAATTTGAACTCAGATTTAATTCAGTTTGGTTTCAAACTTGTACAAAGTCAATGCATATAAATTTAAAACTTGATTTACAGCTTTATATGGCAAAACGCAAAATCAGACTGACCAAATTCAATACCTGCTGGCACAACTTTCTTATACTAGTGTTAAAAACTTAGTGTTAAAAGCTTATTTTGTGTTTAAACTAAAATGGAGACATCCGTAGTTCTCCAGACCTACAGTAATTCCTGCATCATTTCTGAAATGAAGAAAAACATCTCTTTCAGTGTGAAATCATTTCTGAAGCTGTTTCATATCAATGTTCTCTGTGATGCATGACTTTTGTGCTTAACTTCTTTAAAGCTGAACTTTGGCCTCCTCCATTACTTGCAGAGGTTCTGCTGCCTTCATATTGTTCAGTTTCAGTACTACAGCTACGGTTCAATGGTTCAACATGTTTAAGTGCTACAGTTTAGTTTAGTTTGTTCGGTGTGCTGTAAGTGAACAACCACTTGATATCAGAGTGAATGGAGCCATTATACAGCCAGCAGGGACAGCAGAGTAGTGAGGGATCTGGGTCCTATAAGAGGATATAATGGTGTTTATTTCTTATTGTTCAGTATCATATGTGACCTCAGCTGTGGAGAAAAGCCGCTTTCTAGGATCATCTTTTAATTTCAGCAGGACCACCTCATCTGATGTAAGACACACAGCCTACTTCCCTGCCAATGAGATTAAGAGCTCAGATTGGATCTGTCCAATGAAAAGCATTACTCGACTGCACTTGTCAGGGGGTTGAAAAGTCATCTGGAATCTCCTTTTGCATCATTAAATGTAGCTTACATTGTCAAGTCTGAAGAGCAAGGTGACGTTCAGAGAGGATTTGTGGATCCCACCCCACCGTGTGCTTTCTGCGTTAGTGTACAATCGTCATCAGTTTGTTTTAAGGATTGCATTGCCCCCGTGTTTCACCGGTTCAAACAAGACACTTCTGAAAAGGAAAGGAGAAAAGCGGGTTGAGGAGCTCTGCTCATAAGGCCATAACAGAGCCCATGTGGATTTGTAGAGCCCGGTTGGTTGTACATGCTGTTAGTGGTAGATACACACTCATTAGACTGACATTCGGGCAGTTTTTGAAAAGTCAATGCTGCCATAGGCTGTGATCTGAAAGCTCAAACACAAAACCTAGCACTGCTGGCTGGCTGACAAGTAAAGCAAAAATCTAAAGGGTGCAATGTGTTAGATGTTACCCAAAACTACAAAAGCACAATAGAAAATATAAACTTTACTACAATGTGGGCCTTTTTTTTGTAGTTTTGATGATTTTTGTGGGTTATGATAACATTGTTGTAAACAAGCCAACAGTTTAGCCAGATTTATCTACTACTTTATTTGAACACAAAACCACAGGTCAGTGCACCTGTTACATGGCTAGTAGTCCCTTATTGCGTAAGCAAAACTGTGAGTGGGCATAATAATTAGCTCAGGTAACGTAAGTCCAAGTTGAACCAGGAAGTTGGTCTGTTTGGGTTATAATTTTACCATTTTTGTTTTCTCTTGAAATTTATTTTCGCTTACCTCTTGGTTTGTTTAAAACTAATTGTCTGACTGCTCATGTTTGTTGCCCTGTTGCATCTATTATTAGCAATGTCCCTGCTATACTTTGGTGGGTACAATGTTATTATAACCCGTAGAGGTGGTAGCCAAAGTTACAAAATTGAAACCCAAGATGTAATTAACTGTAGTTTACCTTTAAAGTGAAAACTTTGAGAATGATTCTGGTTAATTAGAACTTGGGTCATATTTTTGTTTGGCATCATTTCTGTTGGTAATAACACTTCTCAAAAACTTAATTGCTGAGATCTGGGAACAAAGCAACTCAACTAAAAAGAAGTCAGGCAGTCAGACAGGTTAGTTAAACTTATTTGGAAAACAAAGTGAATGGTAAAATTCTGACCCAAACGGTCCATTGTAAACATTCATCCCCAGATGACTTTCTGGTTTTACTTTAACCTACCATACTTAACGTAGTCGGCATGTGGACAGTTTCCTGTGCACATTTCAGGTGTGTTCACTTTCTGTTGTTACCTCCAGGGTTTTTGATAATCTGGCTAAACTGTTGGCTACTTTACAGCCTGTCTGATCATCTGACTCTTTCTTTCCTTGTCAGGCTTGGATGAAGCTATGCTGTTGTGTTCCCAGAAATTAGCAGCAGTTACTGTGGTAAGATTAACATAACTTGATGACCAAAACTACAGAAAAAAAGAAAAGACCAAAGTTGTAATTAAACTAGATTTTAAACCAGAGCGGGGCTATGTAACATTTGAAACCAGAATTAGCATATTCATTCTGTTATTCTGAATAAAAAGCTAATATTCTCAAGCAATTAAAACACACCCTTGTTAAGTTCAGTACACTCAGGGGTTTTACTGCTACAGCCTTGTGGTGTTATGACCAGTAGCTTATGCTGTCTAATGCTAGATAATGTTAGCTAAAGTAAGATTGTTGTGTGCAACTGAAATTACTGGGTCAATTCAATAACTTCATGGCTTGCTTCTATTTGTGCTGTTGTTACACTATGTTTTATCATGTAGCATTATCCCTACTTGCCGCTTAAAAGTTACATAGACTCAATTTACACCAGACAACAGGAGCTGAATGCTGGCTCTGTTTACTAATAGGAGGGCATCATGACAATCTGGAAAAAGAGAATGTGGATACATGACGTCCGTGTCAAAGATTTATTTTAATCTCAGTTTCACTGTTGTTGCGCCAACATTTGTATTCCCTTGTTTTCTCTAAAAAAGTGGTTTCTCTTTTGTACTGGTACTTTCCCCACTGAACAACAAAATCATGTGGGTGGATATTAGATTAATAAATAGCAAGTAAACTAATGTGAAACCAGACTCTTCATAGAATCAGTGGACACTTGTGGTTTGAGACAACTAAAAATAAGCATTATGCCTTGGGGAAACAGATTTTTCAGGGGGAATATATTGTGGCACAACTGGCTTTAAAACTTGTTAAACTTCCTAACTGACCAGATGATGATAATAAAGTGCGACACAGCTGAAACGTGGGCCAGTTGAGGTATAGGGTAACAAAGAAATGAATATAAAAAGCGTCCTGTGTGATCACAGCCTGCTGCAGAGAAATCTCTGGCATCTATCAGCAACCTCATTTTCACAATTTGTTTTGACAGTGAGGTAAACTGATTTACTGAGCAGATACAGCCACCAAATGAGTTGATTTCATAGACTGGCTTATTCTAAATCTAATCTCGTACGTCAAGTCTCGGCGGTTCCTGTCGAGACTGAGAGTTAAACAGACGCGGTCAATCGGATGAGTGTGTATCAAAGGCTTCTGCTGTTGCGCTTCCCTCCTTTGAGGAATCAGTTGAACAGACTCGGCTGTCGATATGGAGAGAAGTTTTGCATTCTGGCGGTGTGGATGTACACTTATTCATGTAGAGACATGAACCAATAAGTGTTATAAAAGACAAAAACTGTTTTAAATATAGGAACAAATATAAAATATTAGACTTCCATAATAACTATATGCAATAACATTCTAAATAACTTTTTGAAGGACTTACAAGTTGTCCTGTTTTAAACCATGATGTATCGCCTCAGAGATAATATTTAAGACAATGAAAAAAGCACCACAAAATTTATCATAGAAACAGAGATCTAACCATACAATGGTATGTACAATGTACGTATGCCAACAATACGAGAGATGAAAAGAGATGAGGACAGAGAAAGAGAATGAGAGAGAGGAATAAAACCACTTATCAAACTCCCGTCATGCAGATAAGAATTTACACAGGAGACCTGAGGAGTATCATCTCTGGCGGTTTGCGAGTGCCACACTCTCCCTGTCACAGTCCCTGTCCCAGAGACACCACGCCAAATAAAAGCTCAATTCAGAATTATACACAAAGCACTGATCCTTTGAGGCCTCCGTGTTGACGTTTTCTTTTTAAGGAAGGAATTTTAGGCGAACGGGGGAGAGAAAAATAGGACGAGGATATAAAGATAACGTAATACCAAGCAAAGGAGTTGGGATAGAGGGGTTATAGGGGGTCGGCGCCTTGCCAGATGTTCCTTTTTTGTGCAAGGGAATGTCAGAGAGAGTTTCAGAGGCACCCAAGGACCTGGCACCCTAGGGCTCGTCGCTGGGTGGTGTGGCTACAGCCCCCTCGGCGTCCAAGGACTCTGGCGACTCAGCAGCAGCGGTGTCCTCGTTGGGGCTGTCCTTACTGCTGGGGCTGGCCCCCGCCTCAGCCGAAGTGCTGCTGTTGTTGCTGCTACTGCTGCTCTGGCTGTCTTGGCCCTCCGAGTTCTCCAGCATCTCCTGGATGAGTGGCGGCATGGAACCTGGGATCTCCATCTTCAGAGAGATGACTCGCTCTGCTCCTGCAAGACCATGATGAGGGCAAAAGAATTTCTTAAAATCAAAAAAAAAAAAAATTAGGTTCAAAGGTTCACCTACTATTACCTACTTTTTTCTGGGCTTTCAACCACATCTCATGTTCTTCGTCATGATGTGACAGGACTTTATGATCTCCCCATATACAAACACTCACATGACCAAAATGTCCCATGAGGTTTCATTGCTGGTTTTACACATTTCTGTGTAAAATCAACATGATTTCTCTGGTCAGGCATCTTGTGTAAATTAATAATACAAAAACCTTTCAGCTGCAGGAACCTCTATATTTACTAATTGTGCACAAGCTGCTTTAGAGGACACCAAATAAAGAAGAGAATAAAACCAAAAAATAAAACCCAGAATAAATGATACCAAAGATTAGAAGACAAATAAAACCAGTACAAATAGTAGAAGCAACAGTAAGAACATAAGCTGGTAATGCAACCAGATAAACCTATGCAACATTACAAAAAGGCGTGTTTAAAAGACGGGATTTAAAGAAAGCTACAAAGGGGATAAAGTATAGGATAAAGTTTAGTGCGACTACAACAACTTCTTCAGGCAAGTCGTTCCAAAGTCAAGGGGCCCAGGTCTGTAGAGGGGCAGGAGGGCCTTTGAGGATCTCAAAGTACACCCAGGCTCATTCGGGGTTAAAGGCTCAGTACTATGAGCCAGTCCAGAATGTGCATTAAAAGTTAGCAACAGAAAGTTCAAATCAATAGGGTTTTTCAGTCAGCCAGTATAGAGAAGTTGAAAGCGAGGTAATGTGCTCACTCTTCATGTTGAGCGTCCTGCTCTGAACTAATTACAATCTAGCTATGCTAATCTTGATTTTATGCTGCATCAGAGGAGCTCCACAACCAAATGAAAACACTACATCTGACATGAAACTGCTTTAGAAAGTTGCCATGGCTACAAAATGTTGTACAGCCTTGTTGGTTTGAAGCATACTGGGGTGTTGATGAAACAGTGGATAAAACACATTCCTTTGGTGCGAGAGTTCAATTCCCCACTATGACACATCCACCAATGAGTCCCTAAGCAAGACACTTAACCCCTCGTTGCTCCAGAGGCGTGCGACCTCTGACATATATAGCAGTTGTAAGTTGCTTTGGATAAAAGCATCAGCTAAATGAGTAAATGTAATGTGATTTCCATGCTGAAGCATTCGTGTAGAGCCGTGTTTCTGTTCACCTGATGAGTAGAATAATATGAAGTCCAATAATAATTGCTAACCTTCTTTGTTTTGGTGCTGGGTAGGTAGTGTAAAGTTAGTTTTTCAGAGCTTTCTTGCCGAAGACAGCTGCATGTTGCTGTAACCAAGGTGGAACGCTGAGTTCGCAGGCTGTAAACCCAAAAAAAAGAGCTAAAAGATGCTAAAAAGCCCAGAAGAGCTGAAAAGCAGTTCTCCACTCAAGCAACGCCCCTATTACATGTAGTCATATGATACAATGTTAATAAAACATATTGATTAAATAATAATGACGGAATGAAATAATGTCATGTATGACACAAGTTATCAGACTGTTAGAGGTCATCAGTACACCATCAATACTGCCTTTGTAGCATTCCAAACAGTCACAGAAGTGAATTTGTTTTCAAAGTCGCCAGAATGTCTTGACAGTAGTCGTCCCTGTGCTTCTGAGAATACATTTTACCTGCACTGCACATATGCAAGACCTGCTGCAAAATAACTTTTTAATTGAGTCCCTGATGGGAGTTTACCTTTAAACCACAGACTAGAAAAACAAGAGAGACCACCAAGGCTGACTGAGACACCCCTCAATCAAACAAACACAGTGTATACATACAGTAATACCTCGTTAATGCAACAATGATTCTCAAATCTCCTTAACGACACACACAGTGAAATTACCTACTGGGACTTTAATTTCATTTGTAACTAATTTGATTTTGTATTTCAAGAGAAGTCGGAGCATTTTCCGACTGATTCAATACAGTCAGTTTCTTGGAGCCAGCACTGCCATTAGCTGAACTGCTCGAGACAAGTTCCACAACTGCACATTGATGTTTGCTGACTGACCGATGAATAGGAGGACAATATAGAAGAATCGTGATTCTTGAACAAACAAATATATCTATATAGGCCAGTGTGCATCACACAAAGCAGTTGTTGGACAGTCTGTGAGCGTCTGAAAACTAGTCATTTTCTCCTGGTGACTCACAGTTGGAGCACGGAAACGCTTCTGTTTGAATCATCAGTACAAAAGATGAACAGCTGTGTTAGAAAATATCTAGTACTTAAAAAAGTTGAAGGTACAATCTTGTGTACATTAAATCTTAAGGTGAGAGCCTCTAACTGGCTTCTTCTTCATAGCATCGTTGTTAATGCTTATGGGTGTAGTATTATTTAGGTCCACCGTCCATGCCGGACTGCTAGACAAAGTTGAAATTATTATGGCCATGACATAAACCTTGTTTATTATCTGGGAGAGTCCAGCATTTAAACATTAAGTAACACTGAGCGTATCATTAAAACAAAATTGAAAATGGGAGTTCAGAGTGGGGAAAATACGTCTGGAACCACTTTAACAGCTCCATAGAGAGGGATGCGGCCAAAAAGGTTCGTACATTTCCGGAACAGACAATTCTACAATATTTATGCATTGTCTTGTCAATTGTGCGTGGGGTGTGAAAGTAGGCAGCGTTTGCACTTCTCTCTGAAATATCATCCTACGAATCATTATGTCAAGATCACAAAGACACAGCAGATTGTCCCCCGCCTTCGAGTACTGATAACAGGTTTAAACACATGTTGTGGCTGTACGACCTAGTTTGTCGGAGGCACACTGAGACCAAAGTGCCTGCATCGGAACTAGACTGCCCCTACGCTATTGCAATTATTGTCTGCAATCAACTGACATAACTGAAAGTCAATATCCTTCCTACCTTTGGCGCTGATACTGCGCAGGTCTGTGATCTTCATCAGCGTTTTGGGGAACATGTGTGGTTTGCTGGGCCGACGCTTCCTCACATAGATCTTTAAAGCCTCCAGCAGCGGCTCCTGGAGCTGGTCCACCTTGGAAGGCTCCTCCAGGTCCTGACGGTCTGGCACACACACACACACACACACACACACACAAATCAAGTCAGACTTGAGGCTCAATGATGACAAATCCATCGCTTGGCTTTATCTGATTCAGACAAGCTAGAGGCTAATACATGTATCATAGCATGAAGCGTGGGCTGATTAAGAAGGAAGAGTTTATCTCATTATGACAACTCGTTTGCTGCAGAGGAGATATTGCAGAGATGGTTACAATTAGATAACTTGTGCAGAAAACTAATTTGGATCCTTTCTTTTGAGTAGCCGAGGTTTTAAAGCCTCAAACACCAGGGAAGCAACAACTGAATGCATCAAAACTAATCAGAACACGCTGTATTCAAAGCTATGCATCTATTCAGAGACTGCTTTTCTGCAGTGATTATTTAGGAAGACTCAGTGGTCAAATGCACCAGCGCCTCTGCACTCTGAATAGAGACGCTGACTCAAATCCCTGATCAAAAAATGTTTTGGACCTTTCAGTGGGCAGCTTTCTTTGACTCCAGATTTCTCACAGTCATTGTACATTAATGATGTGTATGCCTTTTTATATATTTATTATACATCATATTCAGCCACTGGCAATGTGGAGAAGAACAACCTTCATTTTTTTTCATCACTTTATAATTTCTGTACCATTTGCAATTGGTCCAACAGATTGTAGCATTGGCAATTGATTATATAGATAATGGTAATAGTGTACTCTCTGTTCACTACTTAGTGAGATCAGAGAACTAAAACACTAAATGTCAGTCCAACAGGGCTAGAAGCATAAGCAGTCAGACGATCAGACGCAGCTTAGTCAAACTTATTTGGAAGAGAAAATGAAGGAGCATGGTAATGTTACCACCTAAATTAGATTAGACTGACTTCCTGGTTCAACTTGCCAGCGTTGTGCACGCTCAAGGGGTTGCTGCGAAATAGCGACATTACAGATGCGCTCACTTTTGATAGATACTGTCATCTTGTTTACACCCTGTCTGATCATCTGTTGTACTTAATTTCAGTGTTCTAAGATCTAAACAGTATCTTTGGTGAGTGTAGTAATGTGATCATAACCGATACAGCTGGTGCCAGAGCTCCAAAAATAAAACCCAAGTTGTATTAAACTGTAGTTTCCCTTTAAAATCATGTTATTCCACGGCACCACTGTCAACACTGAGACAAATATTCATATCTCTTGGCTGCACCAGTTCATTAAGGTGAAATCTAGACGTCTCCAGCAACATTTCATGTTTTTCCCCAAAATTCAGCTTCATACATTTGCTGTCTTTGGAAACCTCACTAGAATTTAAAGTTTAGGATTACATTTTTTCAAATCTTGTCTTACAACATTATTCCTGTGCCCATATGTTCATTGGAAGAGATTTTGGTAGCTGTACTCCTCTCTGTCCATACTGGCCATAAAGAAATCCATACAAAAAGCAATTTGAATGTAAGTGATGATGCTTCTTTCTCTGTTTTAAATGATTCTAACTTGAATATTTTGTGGTGTTTTACTTTGGTTTGAACAAAACAAGACAACTGAAGAGATCACCTTAGGATAATGGTTATAATAATGATTATATTATTTACAGACTAAATAATTAACTAACTGAAAAAAAATTCAGTAGATGAAAATAATTGTTAGTTACAGCTCAAAACAAAACTAATATAAACACAGTAGACGCTGGGTCAAGTTGGGTCTTTTCTTGAACACACACTACACCGTTAGGCCATATGGTGGCAGTGTGTGCACTGAAATCAGAAGCTGCTAGACCTGCAGTCAAGGTGTGTGATTACAGATGCAATCAGAGATGTCTTGCACTGTCCATGGATTATGCAAGAGCCTGTAATATTTGCCAAGTCTCTGGGGATTGAGTATATAAATATATATTGTTGAATGAAACCCCAGCTGCGATGGAGCCTGAGCACTGATGACAATGACGGGCATAGGCGAGAGTGATAATGAGAACTGAACTTTTGGTGGATGTACAGTAAACTTTTGTGCGTAAATGTGTGGGTAGCCTGACATGCCTTGGGTATCTTGGTAGAAAACAACCACAGCAGACTCATTTCCTCTGAGAGGGAAGTTAAAACAATCCATTCAGCTACCTGACGCTGGTGTGACATACCTGTACGTCACCCCTCGATCCTCTCCTCTCCCTCCCATATTTGGCAGTCAGGATAGTGCTGCCTTAATGATAGCAACCTGTGGTTGACCTGGTTTCAGACTCCCGTGGAGGCTGGCGTACTTTCATCCCAAACTGGGCTGCAGCTCCACTCAATATTTAACTGGAGAAATCAATATGGGCTCACTATGCTGAATGGAGAGCAGTCAAGCATGGTTTGAATGTGGAGTGGATCAGTTTAATCATTCCACTCGGTCTACTCCAAGACTACACTATCAACTCTGTTTATCTCTGTAAATCTGAATTTATGCTAAATATATGATGTAATCAGGCTGCAAAAAGCATCCATATTACTGAAAGAAGGAGCGTTATGGGATTGGGCAGAAAGAAACTTATGTGTCTTGGCTGAAGATGCAGATCCTTGATACTTTAGTGTTTCACAACCTGGGGTCAGGAGCTAAATCTGAGGGGTCACCAGATTATTAACAAGGAAATGTCTGGAATCAAAATTATGTAATTTTCCGACCTCAAATCTTTGCTTTTTACACGAGTCCAACTGAAATTAAATTATATGATTTTTCAGGTACAGCATACAGATTTGATTTCATAAATGTGCCCCTTGTCTTTGCATGTATTGGTGAGAAGATTGCTCTTTCTTTGCGTAGACAGAGAAATTCTTACATAGTGAATCAAATGATTTCATTTTAAAGCAAGTCTACATAACTATTACCACAAGTGGTAATAACCCCCTTATTTCCCAAGATTCTCTTGAATCAGTTTAAAGAAGTCGTCATTAGGTGAGCTAACAGAGCGAGTGGAACAGGAAACAAACGTCTCCTCCTGGTGACGAAAACTTCTTGTTTTACTTTTCATGTTAAACTTTTGAAATGTTTACCAGAAATGTAGTGTAATAGAAGTTCAAAGAGAAAAGAAAATATATCTCCAAAGTCCTTTTTAGTATTCCCTTTATTTAAAAAAACTGACATAAAAAACACTACTAGAAGGTGGATGAGAAAATGAGAAGGGACAATCTGCAAAATGCTCCCAGCTCTTACACATATGCAACATGTGCAAGTAGGGCGAAGGAAACAAATATTTGTGTCTTTTCTCTGTAAGTTATATTGTTATCTTGTCAGTCTTTCCTGCAGTCCCTTCCTCCCCTCACTAAATGCCCAGTGATACTGCCCCGGCTCACCCACCTCCGGAGATGAGACAGATGGCGCTGAGGAGGCCTGTCTCCGTGTCGTCCATCTCGATGGGCAGCAGCTGGTTGGCGAAAGTGAACACCAAGTCGGTGAGTGGGCCGAAGCCAGCGTTGTGCATCTGCGTCCGGTTGAGGGTCAGCCCGTCTGAAAAGGTCATGGTGTCCTGGTCGGGGGTGTACCTCGTACAGATGCGCAGGATCTGACAGGGAGAGAAGTTAGGTTGGGAGAGGATTAGTCAGCAGGGACTTAGTGGAGAGGAAACTTTTAAGTGACATACAGTTGGGGGTTGATTAATAGAGTTTGGCTTTGAACATCTTTAAATTGAGCAGTTTTTATGGCAGAAACTGACACAGATTGAGTGTTTACCTCAGACTTTTAATTCTTTTCAGTGTGGAATCAGTCAAATAAAGCCATTACTAACAACTCAAAAACCTTTCTTTACAAGCTTGTCATATTTAGACACTGCTTACTTCAAAATATTGCCTATGACAAACAGCAGCACAGAAGGACAATATAGAATATATCTTGCAAAGCACTGAAAGTGCTGAAAAACAATGTATCACAGCACTCATAACTATGGAGAAACATAGTTATAAACAAACAAGATATAACAGTAACACTAGTAGGACAAAGAAGGAAATTAGCAAAAACCACAGTCACTATCGAAACTGTCCTTTACGTGAGGGTTTCAGTACAGTTTTGGCTGGGAGCAGATTTAGCCCACTCTCTAGTTTCATACGAGAGTGTATAATATTTCCGCCCTCTAGCCTTCCTGAAGATCGGAAAGGTGTATTTTTGACCAGAGGACTTACACACTGATATAACACCCGCCGCCCCCAAATGGCCAAAACAATCAGTATTACTGTAGTTTTACAAGTGACAAAATATGCTTTTGTGTGTAATGTGAGTGAACCAGGCCTTTAATCAGAAGCAATAGCCCATAGTCATGTCTGGTTTTCATTTTCTTTACCTGATATAACACTTAACCATAACCATAACCATACCATGACTGAGGATAAGCAGCTAACCAGGGCAGGTAAAATGAAACTCTATGTCAGAAGTCTGATCCTGGTTACCATAAAAAGCAGCAGAGACAACAAGCACAACCAAAACAATGCCCTTCCATACACTCAAAGAGAATAACCTTTAGGTCTCCTGCTGCACTGCATGTGTGTGTTTGTGTGTGTGTGTGTGTACACCTAATGAAGCAACTGATGGTGGATGTGAAACCTACAGTAGCCTTTGAAGCTATTTGAGTGGGCTGGCTCTGACAGTGAGTGGCAGGCGTGTCTGCAACATGAAACAGAATAAAACATGGCTACTGGCGGTGACTCGCACCGGCTGGCCAGGCCTGCGCTTAGACAGACAGACAGACACACAGACACACAGACACACACACACACACACACACACACACATATATATACACACATAGTGTTTGATCTTTCCTCTCACACTCCCTCACCCAGCCCTTGTGCACAATATCTACGCCCTTCACCATAGAAATGTGGTACTGTGGATGTTGATGGCTGAGCAAAAGCCAGAAAGTCATCACAGGCGGCCTTCAACTTCTCACCTCTGTGTCCCTGGGAGTTCACTTCACTGCTTTGTCACATATGACAAGTATGATTTAGTCAATACTAACTCCAAAATCCATCTATTATTAAGGCACTGCCATAGAAGCAGAACCAGTTAAAACATGCACACACAGAACAACAAATACTGTATGTACAGCAAACTAATTCTCATTTTCATCAGCATTCATTTGTGTCTGATTTAGCTACTTTGCATTTACACCTCACATAAATCTGCATCTTCGTGCATAAATCATGGATTTTTACAATCCCTCAACAAAATGCGCATCATCCTTTATCCTGTACCATTTTCTAATGTTTCATGGCCTTTATGAGCACATACACCAGGCTACGGGGAGTGTTTGCTATTTTCTATGAAAGGTCCCCTTTTATAAACTAATGGCATTTACTAATATTTTTTATATCTAGTAAGTAGTAGCAGTTAGGTTGTTCTAAAAAATTGTTTAGATAGTGTTCATCATTTCTTTTTGTTATTTACATTACTTCTACCGATTTAACATATGCAACGCAACTTACAATTGCTATGTCAGAGGTCACACATTGGTGGATGTGTCACAGTGGGAATCGGATCCAGGTCTCTCACACCAAAGGCATGAGTCTTATCCACCGCTGTATTGCCATCCCATTGTTATAACACAGTTATTAGTAGTTACTAAAGGTTTTTAAGCTATACTAAGCCTGTGGCTTCAAGTGTTAATAGTATATTAAAGTGACTAATGTGTGTATATTGTTTCAAGGCTGACAACATGGAGCTCCCATCATCCCAGTCACTGGAGGAGCGGTTCATTCATGTCATGTCACCTCTCTTTGACTTTCCCCTTTGAGAGGGGAGAGTGCAGAAGCTTTCAGAGATCCTGCAAAAAACAATATCTACCATTTGCTAATTCATACTGAGCGTATGTTTGCAACATAATCCTGCAAAAATATGTGCCTTCACATAGCCTTCACTGCCTTTCCAGAACCAGTGGCATAGAAAAAGACAGTTAGGTGTAACACAACATCCGGCATGCCAGCTTTGGCTTTTCACTTAGACACTGTTACTGCCAACACTGGCATCTCAGAGGCGGATCAAATCTGAACCCCCTTTCCGCCTCCGTACATTTCATACAGCGCAGCGAGCTGGCAAAAATAACGCAGTTTGAAAGTAGCTTGTGTTAGGAGCTTCGAAAATGGTGCTTGAATTGTACTTGGAATGTTATTAACATTTAGCTAGCTAGCTACCACTGTAATGTGGCGACATTTACCAGGAGCAGAAACCAAACCAACATACGTGCTGTGATGCTGTGGCACAGGACTCGCCAGGCCAGAGTTTCTGGAATGTGCAAAGAGGGGGATTGTAGAAAGTGAGCAGTCTGATGAGGAGGTTTAAGTTGAATGATAAGCATGTTTAACCGTGAGCAGTGAAAAGATTTAAGCTGAATGATTAATACGCATCTTGTAAGTTTGGAAAACAATTTACTGTTTATGTTTTAATAGCAATCATAATTTTGCTTCAAATTTCACTCTGGTCTCTTCAAGTTTGTATTCAATATAACACCTTATTTTCTCAATGTGTGGCAGAGAAATGCATTTTATCAAAATATACTTGGTTCATCTCTACCCCTGCCTAAGAGGCATGTGAGAAAAAGATATGGTGATGTGGTGATTACTTTCTAAATAGTTTTCTTTCCTGTGTTTACGACTTAAGAACATGTGACCCCCCCCCCCCCCCCCCACAGAAACCCACAACAGTCTAGCATGCATGAGGGAGACAGAAGAGGCGAGACAGCCATTTGCCTTTTTCGTTTTTCCATCTCATTACTGAAGCTACATTAGTACAGGACATTGCTCCACTTAACAACTCCTAAATAACAAACAAACATTCAGCTGGTGCAGCATTCCACTCTGCACACATTACCACATCTGTACTCCGTAAATAACACTCAGCATAATTAACAAATGCGGAATGAGAGACTGCGTGACATGAAAAAAACTGACGACTGTCCCAAAGAAGATTAGAGGCAGAAAAATGTTTCTGTGTATGTAATAGAATCTCTGCTACAGACAGCTACTCCACATGAGGAATTGAATTGACTGGCATGATCAATTAATCGGATCTCCCTGACTCCCATTGGCCGGCGGGGTGGGTCAATAAGGTTTGAGGATTGGTCTAATGGGTGCTGGGCTTGAGGTTAAACCCACCAATCCCCCGGAGTTCTGAGGCTATTGACTCACCACACAGTCTAAACGAAATAATAGGCTCTTACACACTGAGGAATAACAGGGAAATTAGAAAATAAATATCAGAATACACTACAACTCGTCATCTGGTAAAGGGGTATGGTTATATAACTGTGTTATGTCACTGCTATGACAGTTCTGGGAAGCTTTTTAGCTCATTACTGAATATTTTAAAAGAGTTCTGCTGTACTGAAGAAGCATCTAAACTGTATATCTCTGTGAAACTCGGTTAAAGGGAAACTGGTTCACACTATGATCAGCAATGTATAAAAAAGGCAGGAAAGAAACTGGGACTGGAACACTGTAAACTATATCAACTTAAAAAAAAACAAGTGGAACAACTCATGATTGGATCATTTCCACACGGCTGTACAAAGTCAGAATGCTGTCACAAATGTACTTTTAAAAAGTACATTGTGAACATTAAAAGTGAAGACAGAGGTATTGTCAGGTTCTTCTCTTTACTACAAAGAGCATCCACATTTCACAAGCCAATTTTAGTTTGGCCTGAGATGATGCATGCCGGGTTTGTAGATGACTGGGGGGTCAATGGTCTACCAAACGTTGGTAATCAGATTGATGCAAAAAGCAAATCTGGGCTCAACAGTCCACTTACTATATATATTTCACAAGTTAATGGTAAAAATTTAATGTTTGTCTTATGTATAATAAACCTTTATGTCCATTGTACTGGGTAGGTCTCTATTCACTATTGCAATCATTAAAAAGCAAAAACAGTAGGTTTATATAACGTTACATTCAGTAGTAAGTTAGCTAGCGTTAGCTAACTAACATTATATTAGGAGCAACCCACAGGCTACATCTTTCTACATCTTCAGCGAATTATTGAGCACACTGTCATGTTTAACAGTGACTATGCTATTCAACCAGGTTTCAGATAAGCTGCAATACCTATAGCTTGTTAGATACCAACTAGTCAACGGACTATTTCCTTTACTTGTGTTACATGTGTTCCCTTTAGTTTTCTTGAAAGTCACCCTCCAGGTAAAAAAGTGTTTTGCTTCTTGTTTCTTCACTTGAATGTTTGCACTTTGCTGTGCAGAATGATATAATGTATGTGCAGAGTTTGTCGCCGAATTCACCTGCTGACGGTGGAAAGTTTCTCTGTGATGTCACCTTAAGTCTCAATTTTTGTTTCAATTGACCCTTCGCTAAGCCCTGCCCCCCTTAGTTACTGTTACTAAGTCCGACAAACTGCCAAAATGCGATCTCAGAAAGAAGCAGACAGTTTTGCAGTTGCATTATACATTTGAAGGTTGTATTCAGGTTGTCAAACTGACTCAAACAGGCGTGAAACAAATGAAAGATAGAAGCTAAAGCCTACCAATCACACAGTATCACATCCCCCGACGATTGAGACAAAAGACAACGATATGAACGATCAACACTGTTCCTGTACAGCTGGTAGGCCTCTATTCATTATTACATTCATTAAAAAGCAGAACAGTGGGGCTTTATTACGTTCCATTTAGTAGGAAGTTAGCTAGCGTTAGCTAACTAACATTAAATTAGGAACAATCCACAGCCGAGGTTTTGGAAAGAGAATAAATCGTACTTCTCCTATCAACCGTCTCTGGGTAGCAACTGGACGGACTCTTCTGAGACATCTTGTCTCCAGGAATTAAACTTCTAAAATGAACAATACAGTATTTGCTTTTTTATAGATTCTGGATTTTCCAATGGAAGGAGAAGGAGTAGAGAGTATAAAATTTAATTGAATTGGTAATTGAACCTTTTTTGTGGAAAAACCACATCAGGCACAAATTATTATAGTGTTTTTACAGCTGGAAATGACAGAAGCAGTTGAGATGAGGTTGCTACCAACTAGGCAAAACATGCACCACAGTATTTCCATCTTAACAACAGAAGGACTAGTCTCATTCCTTAAACAACAAGTGTGTTCGCCCAAAATAAAAGCACCCACACCAACCAGAATGTCCAGGCAGGCAGCTTTCAGGAGCGTGATCTGGTCCGCGATGGTCAGCCCCGTGAAGCCAGGCACTCGTTTGGCAAATTCCACGATCTTGATAATGCACTTAGTGGCCAGCTCGCTGAACTTGTCCCACAGGCCCAGGTCCAGCCTCACACGGTGGTCTGCACTCGAGTTCTGTAACACACACATACACATACATTTTCAGACCCACACAAACAGAGAGTAAGGCGCCAGGCGAAGAGGCAGCTACTTTCGTCATTGCACAGGCTGCTGCTAATGATCTCCTCAGTGCACCCTCTTCACTCTGCTCTATAAGTGTCACACTTACATACAGTAAATAGGCTCCATAAGACCTGAGCTCTCAAACACTGGCAGGATTGTTGTTGTGAATACGCTGAGCTGAGCCGGGCGGCCCGGCCCTGCGATAATGAGTGTAACAGTGTCAGTAGGATGCTTTGGCAATGATGGGATGCAGAAACAGAGCTGTGACAGGTAGCACAGAGGGGTTTGAAGCCAGAGGTGCCATTAATACCGCTATATGGTCCAGAACCTACACAAACACTGGCAGGGAGTGGGGATAGATGGGAGCCAGGGAGCAATAAAGACACAGATCGCAATGTGCGGAAAGAGGAAAGAGTGGAAGTAAAAGTGCTGTATGATGCCAGAGAGAGGAAAGAAAGAGATGAAATGACAGATGAAAGGGAGGAAAGTTAAGTATGTGAGAGCAGAGAGGCATTGTGGGAGGGGGAAGGGAAGAGAAGCCATGAATCCTGGGAGTGATGTGTAAGCCAAGGTGAGCTTGAGCCATCGGTTTGTTGATTTATGGCCTCTGATTAATAATCACATGACAGCTGGTGTCGCCCACCTCTGATATGTTCTTTCTAATTATTATTTTGCATCTTTGCCAAGAAAAATCATTCTGCAACTTTCAACAGCATTCCCATCCCAGCAACTTATTTTGGTAGTTTTGGTCATCATTATTATCAGTTATGATAACACTGTATTTTCCAGGTTAATTGCTGAGATCTGGGACCACGGTGACGACGCTACAGAAACAGACCGTGATGGCGCGAAATTGGCTCTCAGACGGTAGCATCATTCACTTAAAAAGGCCGGCCCGTACAGGTCCCGACCAACACATCACTAGGAGATATCATGCTGGACAGACTCAGATTGACAGAGGGGAGAAGGAGCAGCAGTTGGGGAACTGTTTGGGTGTAGTGAGGGGAAAAGCTGTGATGTGCTGGCTGACGGTGGGGATGGAGCATCTGATAATCACTTGTTTGTTTTCTGATGGTTTACATGGAATAGCCCATCTGTCCTGCATGAGTGAGTCTCTCCATGGAGCGAGGGCAGAGACTCTCACAGGAGGTGACACCAACACTAACACCGTTCAAAGCTCCTCGCTCGTTCAAACTTTGCTACGCTTTTGATTTTTCTCTGTTTATTCAGGCTTTGTTGCTGAAACACGTTACGTATGACAGAAATACAGTCACTGGAAAAGGAAGACAGGATTTTTGGATTACAGAGCAGCGGACCACGATGGGTACCATGGCGGGTGATCACTCAGAGGAGAGGAAAGACTGCTGGGATGGGAGCCATGTTGGTCCAGTTTTGACTTAAGGCTGCTCCTAAAGGTCTGGACAAAATGGGACTCTTGTTGACCAAGCAACAGAAATCAGCTGTTACCGCAAAACTCTGGAAAGATGAGAGGAGGTGGACTCTGTGTTTTACATCGATGATGCTTGGTGTTCAAGCACAGTCAAGATGGACTCTGTTTCCCAAATATCAGACTGTTCTTTGAGAAGATGAAAACATATTATCATCTTGTTGCTGCTGTTTCCATTCACCTCAGACGCAAATTCAAAAAATGCACTGCAGAATGATCTGGGTGTACACGTGTATGTATAGCCTATAAATAACTGTATATAGCCTTCTGTTTTATTTTATTTCATTTACTTTAAATGTTACCATTTTTAATACAAATTTAATTATCTGTTATGTTCAGTGTGAGTAGCATGAAGGGACAACAAACTTTTGTTTTGTTGTGACATATAAACAACCTTGTAACGCTGAGGAGGGACCAGTCCTAACAGAACTTACTTGGTACACACAGTACAGGTTGGACACCAGAAAGCCAAGCCAGGAGCAAATTGTGGTTTCTTTGACCTTTTAAACTGGAACATCTCTATTGTTTTTAGTTTTTGACCTTTTCCGACTTTTACTAGTCCCTCACGATGATCAAAATCACACATGAAAACAGTATTTCCACATTTCTATTTCTACCAGTGTGCTTACATGCTCACACTGACTCATGCTGATGTTTAGCAGCAGTAATGTTTACCATGTTCACCTTCTTAGGTTAGCATGTTGGCATGCTAACCTTTGTGTATTAGCGCTAAACACAGTGCAGCAGAGGCTGATGTGAATGTCATTAGTATTGCAGGTATTTCAACCAAAGTAAAAAAAATTTTGACCTGATAATGGCACTAGAGGAAAAGTCAGGATCATTAGGATACACTGTCTGTTCACCATGACTGTCTATACAGCATTTTGAAAGATGCAGAGAGAACTGATTGTTAAATGTTTGGGGTCGGGCGGGAAGTCATGTTGAAAAGCAGAGGCTATTTATTAATTTCTTTTAATTGTATTTAGTTTTCTCTTGTTCTCTTGTTGGTGTTTATTAGTTATCAGTTATTAGTATTAACATGTACTACTTGCTTACTCATTCTCGTCTCTATTCCTGTACTGCAAAACTTTGTACTAAATCGTACAACTACTAGTGTCTATGTTGTTGTTGTTGTTGTTGTTGGTGTCTTCTTGCGGTGGGGTGAGGGGGAGGTAAATGATAAATGGACTGTACTTGTATATCTTCTGACCGCTCAAAGTGCTTTTACACTACATGTCACGTTCATACCTTCACACACTGATGGCTAAGGCTACCATGCAAGGTTTGGGGTTCAGTATCTTAGAGCCATGCTGTCTACTGCTTCCCCTCTTTTTGATTTTTCTTTTATGGAACAGGGCTAGATCTTGATCATATAAACAAATAATTAACAGCAATATAAAATATATAAAAACTAGAAAGTGCTCCTTTTAGTTAGGGGTTGTACACCGTATAATTTACAGACCTCAAGAGAGACAGAAAACGCCTGTAATTGACTGTTGCATAGCCACAACTGCAAAGAGACAAAGAGAGCTTTGTGTCTCCTTGGACATTTAGGCTGTTTATTTAGCATAAACAATGGTAATGAAGTCAGTAAAAATACAGCAAAAGGAAAAGATACGTTTGAATCAAAATTACAAACTTGGCAGTAGTTTACAATAAGTAATGTTCCTAGTATACCTGTATACTATCTAAATTAAAGCCTGTTTCTTCTAAAAGCTTGTTCTCTCACTTTATTATCAGAATTGTTGTTCATTGTAATTACAGCTACTTGTACAAGGTACCTTGTACTTGTATTTAACCAGTTAATAAAATTAAATTAGTGCCCTAAATTTGATCCTAAAAGAACCAGAATCTGCTTATGAAGTGCAGACCATGTTGTCCCCATTGCTCATTTGAAAACTCAATAACACCCAGAAAATAACTCAAACTACTGAGCATATGTAGGAAGACGAGCCAAGTTATACAGACCAACACTCCTGAAGCTGTTGAAGAAGAAGAAGCCAACTGTAAATGACCAACTACTATGACATCCTTTAGTCAAAATCCAATATGTACTCAATATGTTTGCAAACTTCAATATCCGTCTAAGCCCAGCCCCAGGAGCTCTTTCATTGTGAGAGGACAGCCCCAACCAGCCCACTGAAGGGACTGAGGAGACTAAGAGCGGCCCTCGGCTTCACAGCACATCAATCCTGTTGAGGTTGTTACTGTGAGGCAGTTAGAGCCGCAGCTGCCGGACAATGTCTCAAGCAAACAATCTATTGTGTGGCCACCCAAGAGAGAGAGGGAGATAAAGGGAGACGAAGAACAGCTGACAGAAAGAGAGAGAGAGATATCATTAAATATGATCTGGGGTTAAGTGAGAGGCACATTAAGGCCATGCTTAAATCACAGACAACGAGCTGCAGTCGACACAACAGCACTACGGACGCACATTCCACTGATTGACGTCCGATTTGATGGGGAAGGAGGAGGTGCCAAGACATGAGCGTGTGACAGAAGGAGAGAGAGAGAGAGACAAAGTGTTTGCACAATGCACATATGTTGGGGGGGATGGAGGTGGCTGATATTAAAGCAACTCATCTTACTCTTCCCTCTGGGTGGAGAGGGATAAGGGAAAAAAGGGGGGGAGCTGAGGAGGGAGGAGGGTGGGATCATTCGCCGTTGGATTTCTTTTTTTCAACCCCCCTGCAATCTCAGTCAATTACACAAGTCCCATAATTCAATAGAGCGAAAACAAGGAAGTTGCAGGGGAATTCTAATTTCATTTAAGAACATTTATCCAAACAAATTAGACAAGTTGCGACATTAGAAGAGAAGCAGGCAGCGTAGAAACGAGCACTCTGCAGTATATCAGCAGGCTCGTGTGTACAGATGCAGAAAGGGAAAAGGCAGTAAAAGCAGCCAGCACCTGTGACGAATAGCAATGGCGGACAAACTGTAATGTGGCTAATATCTTCAGGCTGGGACGTGTACTGTACAGCGGCAGCCGTCGGGCCCCTGCGAGCGCTAATGTTTTAGTTTGTCTTTGAAACTGCCAGCCTCATTTTTCATCACCATCACTGTCAATGAAGCGTTATTCATTGTCAAGCTAAGCCCTCTCACTCGCGCAGCTATCTCCGCTAACCCAGCAATGAACTCCTAAATCACTGCAGACTAGGATTTGAATATTTCACCACCATAATTGGAGCTTTAACCTAATCTAGGGGCGCGGAAGCTCCTCTTCTGTTTCCGACGAGGAGGACTCAAAAGGCGCATCAGGATCCAATCGCTTGTAATAATGAGGAACTTCTCACAGTCTGTGAGCAAGCATAATTACCACTGATCCAGATTAAGGCTTTATCTGAGGCCTCACTGCCACTACAACAAACAGCAAACACTGGCTTATATCATAACCAGGGAGCAATATTTTTGCTATTATGTCCTGCTATTTTCAAATATGGATTTTGCCTCAATGCAGACTGTTTATTTTGTAAAATCAGGAAGTGTCTCGTGGGAGGGGGAATGGGATGAGGGTGGAGTAGAGGGTTTACAGCGATTAGGAGCTTTGTGTTGGGATTGAAAGGGGAAAAATGAAGAGTCTCGAGATGGAAGCTTACTATCCATCGAGACAGCGGCAGCCGCAGCAGCAGCAGCAGTGTACAGCTGCACACAGCAGAAAGCTAACAGCTACAGTGTATGCCAATTTGCTCCATTAGAGCATCTCTTCCCCACCTCCGCTCCAAACTTTATTGTCAGTGACTGAATGAGTTTCAACACCATAACAAGAGAGACATTACTGCACATTATGGCTGCTCAGTGGATTTGTTTATCTAGTATAAACAGTATTTTACATGATTGACAGTTGTCATGAGATTTCCAAAACTAGCACCACCAAATCATTAAACATACGCCTCCCCACTTCTGCTCTCAAACGCTCCCTACAGAAGACTGTTTGTGGAGCGCCTGTGTCAATCACAGCCCATTCCCGCCGACTGTAATCTATATGTAAGTCAGCTTAAAAAACAAACACATTAAACGCTGTCAGCTCACTGCACAATGCTGCCATGCCTACATGTCAATCAAAGCGCTGCAATCTCTGCTTGCTATCAAGCTATCAGCCGTCCTGCAGCTCCAACAGTTTGCCTGTCAAAGCATCACAAATCTCAACCGAACAAGGGTTTGCAGCGCCGAGTACTCGCTCTAGAGGTTTACTCGACATTTGTATGACCTCCAACTTTTGCACTGAGTCATGACAAGTGGAGAGCCGTCCCTCAGGGGGGGAAGAGAAGCTCGTTGTCACTCAGATGAGGGGAACGTACAGTCCTTTCAATACAGGGTCAGCCGCTTTGCGACTGGACAAGCAAGGGCCTGATGTGTCCAACTGACGAGATTCTTCAAGGTCTTGCGCGGAGCATCCCCTTGCTATCTGGCTTTTCATGGGTTGTTAGTTTAGCGCCGGGCCCGGCGTTTGAGGGTTTGAGGGAAGTTCAGGGACAGAACAGAATGCTCAACCTTGATGTCTGCTGGGAGATAACAGGGCTAATAAAGCCCTCACAAACCCTGACAAGCATTCTCGACACCCAGCTTAGCTCCGTCGCACACCAGCGCACGAATGTGTCGCTTCCGCACCCGTTTTGATTCACGGAAGCAGATAATGAGGCAAGTTGGATTAACTGCATTTTTCCCACTTTTCAGACATGCAAAAAACTGCATGTCTGCCTCAAACAGCCAGATGGGCAGCTGCCTGGCTGGCAAGCATTTCCCCGATGTGTTTGGTGTTGGCAGCTGCAATGTCTTCCATTCCTGACATGTCTTTGTAAATTTCTCCTCTCGCTGTTGTGACACATAAAAACTGTTTTTTTTTTTACCATCTCTGATTCATCTCACCAGAGGCAGCTGGAGGTCATGATGTGTTAGCTGCACAGTGCTATTATGATGCATGCTTTTTGTCTGTGTTTCCATCACACTTAATGTCCAATCAATAGCTATTGAGAGAAGAAGAAGTGTTTTGCCTCGACATCTGAGCTCTCAAGCTGCATTAGACGGGGATTTAGAGTACAGTACAACAGATTGATTATCATTATGAGCTCTGCACTCGCGGCTAGTTTGTAAGACCGGATCAAAGGAGCATATGGTGCCATTGACAAAACATGGAGAAAAAGAAGCATTGTAGCTCTCTTGTGTTTATGATTCAAAAAGAAGTACAACCGAAATTGAACACTTGTATTGATTTACTGTACAGATGTATACAGAAAGGTTTTTCAGGCACCGCATGACAGTGAACTCACCGTGGTGTATTTGCCAAGCTGGCAGAGGGAGGGGAAGGTTTCTTGATGGGCCTTACGAATCTTTTCAATGATGGTCTCCAGCTCGGCTGTCAGCTCGTAGCTCTCTGCCAGCTCCGGCTTTGGGCTCTCCTTCTTCTTCTTATTCCGGTCATTTCGAACAGCTGAAGGAGAACAAAGGATTAGGATTAGCATCAACAATGACTTGCAAATGGCAGACTTGATCGTTGAAGCGAATGTGGATGTTGTGAAACAAAATACATACAACAGACAACTTGATGAACAATGGAACTTTGTTGCTAGTAAGCATTTTTCTGGTTACTTTTATGCGATGCAGCAAGTTGTCATGTTTTAAACTGGGACCTTATATAAGGACAGAAAGTTTCTAGCTGCAGTCTGCTCTGTCAGCGCAACCAGTCTCAGTCAGCTTAGTGCCACTGGCAAAGTCTCAAAACAGGGGAAAACAAAAGTTTCTATGAACACTAAAGTGCTTCATAAAGTGTGATTTGTGTGGCCATTATTAATTAATTTACTTGATCAGTTAACTCTTAGAGCTATTTTGGTGCTTTTTATGTGGCTCAGCGGGGTAAGTTAAGGTCGACGATGTATGGTTTTAGAAGTCAAAGGGACACAATAAAGTTAAGGGTACAATTTTGAGGTATTGTGGTGTACATTTAATGCTACTTTATTCTTCTACCCACTACATTTCAGAGGGAAGACATTTGTATTTTTACTTCACTACATTTATCTGACAGCTAAAGTTACTAGTAACTTTGATAAATATTCATAAATCATATAACAATGGCAGGAGCAATTCTATATAATAACTTTTATTTTTGTAACTTAAGTTGTTTTGTTGCTAACATTTCTGTATGTGCTTCTACTATATATAGTAAATATTGTAAAAAATATTTTGAAAGCAGGACTTTTATTATGTGATATTGTTACTTAAGTAAATGATCTAAATACTTGCTTCCACCACTGCTTACAATGATACAATGAAAAAATGTGGCCTAAATGTCTTTATTATAAATGCACTAACTTCAAAAATTATATTCATTTTCAATGATAGTGAACTGAGACTGCGATAACGCTGGATTAACACACCTGATCACAAGTATGAGAAAAAGAAAAATGAAGCAAGACTGAAGTATAGTTTTAGTCAAGTTGTGTCTCAGGTACACTGTCCTTTACAGCCCTAGCTTTGATTGATCTTCACTTTTCAGTTTTTAATCAAATTACACATTGTCACTTGTCAATCAAGTCAATCAATATTTTTATGTCCAAATGGTCAAAAGGAGAGTCAGTAGGTTTTTCAGTCAAGAAGGGTGTCAGCAGAGCTTCCTGTCAGTGTACAGTTTCAACAAACTTCACCAATCACAAACTTAGGGCAGGGAGAGGTGAAACCCAGGACTAAAAAGAAAAAGCCAAACACGCACTTGCTGCAGCTCACAAAGCTTATAGGTACTCTGTAGAGTTTTTGAACACTAATAGTGCTATGAGGAAATGCTTTTAGAGCTGTACATGTTTCAGATCTTAAATATTCATGACTAAATTAGCAACAATCCCAGTGTTCACTCAACTACAACTTCAACAGGAATCTATGGGTAAACAACCCCACAAAACACATTTTGATTCTGTGTGTGATATCACCTTTATCCTGCTGAGCAGTGCCTACTTCAAACCACTGACAAAAGCAAGGACAAAAACACAACACAAAATCTCACATGTGAAAAAACACAAAGTGCTCAAATATTGGCAGAAGCTTTCGTAATGAAGGACCAAAACACTCAAAGTAAGAAGACAAAAAATAAAAGAAAGTTATCAGGGACTTTAAGAGGGGCCCCTGCTTTGTTAGGGTGTGCATCCTTGGTGAGAAACAGGGGATATAAACGTAACTTTGTTATAGAGGGTGTGCAATGATGTCACTTCTCCTTCCGGAACACGCTGGACTGAGTGGCAAAACATCTGTTACCATGGCTACGTTTAGCAAACCGGGAGTAAAACAAATGATTATTTGCTCAAATTAAAGGCAGTCAGACTCGACAGTGATCCTTACTGCTTACCAAAGAACCAGCGGTCCAGCTCTTTCCCATTTTAGCTGTTGTTTGTGTTTTAGCTGATTCAAGCTAACTCTGCTGCTTGTCTTTGTACCACTCAGTGAGTGTAACGGCATTCTGTGACGTCATGTGTATACTCTCTATAACTAATTGGGTACCTTTTAATGTTGCTGTAAGTATATAATAGGAACTGAAGGTGATCTAGATGAGCATCAACTATTAGTTAACCTATAGCTTCTCTTATATGCTTTGCCGTCCACAAAATAATACACTACAAGAAATGTTTCACAAAATAAACTGGAGCAGAAACTGTTAGGAGATAGTTCTACTGTATAAAACAAGCAGGAGCTACAACTCAATACACAGAATGATCATTCCAGCATCACAAGTCTCTGATCAGCTGCACAAACATTAAGGAGTGGAGCTGGAGAGAAAGAACTGTGCCCATTGTCATTGCTGAGACACCCAAGGGACCTTCCTTGGCTGACAACACAACAGTCACATCCTCTGCCCTAGTTTACAATAAAACCCTTTATATTCATGCACTAAAGCCACCTCGTGATCCTGTATTGCATTAAGCTGGTTGAAAAGGAAAAGTAGCTGAGAGTGGGTTGAGGTTTATTCCTGGTCCAGACACAGTAGTGGTACGTGACCGTGAAGAGCTTCAAGGCATTACAAATTTGCGAGAAACCCTTTATTCCATTTAGGTAGCTATACTTAATGAACACACCCACATCAGCATCAAAAAGGCTTTACTTTGCAGTTCTGTGGCCAGCTGCAATTATATTTACGAATTAAATTGTTAAAACTGCACTAATAGATTTTTTATACAAAAGGCCAAATGTATAATGTGAGTCACAAACCTGCGGAGAATCATAAGCTAACCAGCAATTCCCCTCAGCTCTGCTAAATCTTTAAGCCTCTTTTAGCTTCTTGTTTTGGTTTTTCAGGCTGCAAACTCTACTCTCATCAACCTTGTTTCCAGTGTTGTCGGTGGTGTGACACCATGGAAAGAAAAGGAAAACCTCCAGTCTGAGGCTATATCACTAATCTATATTAGCTTTTGTATATTGCATTTGTATTGGATTGCTAACAAGAAAAGTGATTTAAACAAACAATATAATGGGTATAATTAATTGCATTAGTGTTAATATTAGATTTTACTGGGCTGACATAAATTGTTTTTCCTACTAACAACACTACCAGTTGCTACATACCCCAGTACCTTTTGGTAAGCAGAGCTTTAGAGAGCCTAAGTCACTCGCTTCCACTTCTGGCCCATGAAACCTTATTTTGGTAAAAAAAAATATGTACAGTAGTCAATGGCGAGAGACAACTTATTTTTTGATACTGTTTGAATTGTGTCCTGAATTACCATGACAAGTACCCCCACACTGCTGCGTTTGTACATGTTCATTAGAGCTGTAGTGTGTTCTGTGCTCACAAAGTTATTGTTGTTTAACTTAAAATCACAAAGTTTCAATTTCTAATGTGGCTGTGGAAGCCTATTGGTGTTTCAATATGGAAAATAAACTCCAGGAACATGCTTCATGTTTTTCAGAAGAAGACAAATGAAAAACGCTGATGAGCAATTGCGTTGAGTTCCAGAAACTAGTGGAACAGAGGCTAGCGGTGACTTCATGACTGTCTTTACATTGTTTTTAAATTTTCTATTGAAGGGGGGGGGGGTCAGAAGAGAAACTGCAGGATCCGCAGATGGACCAACAGTCAATCTGTTCCAAAAACAATGTCAAGTACGTCCAGTGTAGAAAATTATTTATAGCAAGTGGCCAAAACAGTCAATTTATTCAGAAGTAGGATATTTGACAATAATATTAAATAATTCAGTTTGGCTTGTGAACATTATGGCCATAATGAGAGTTTAATGCACTCATGTCTATACTCATTTACCAGTCCACTGGCTCGTACATGGTGACTATTTTTAGTTTAATGTGATCTATTTACTGTAATCTCATGTGCAGATGTGCGATCGAGGATAAATCAACAAATCTCCGTAGAGTGTGTAGACCATAACTGGTTTCCCTGAATTCATGACTACTGACAGTGAATTATGCTGAACCTTACATTGCATTTCAGATTATAGCATTTATCCCCATTATCAGGCATTAACCCCACAGGGAATCTACCTCAAATATCTCATCTGTTTTATCAATAATGTTTTCTAACCTTAAACTAGTCTCTCCTGATTGAAATGATGCACATTACCTGCATCAACACAATTCATTAAAAAAACTCTCACAGATGGGATCCTTTCAAAATATGCCAGTACTTTCAAATGCAGCCAAATCAGTCACAGCCAGGGAGACCATATGTTGTATTATATCTGTTTCATTTTAACATACAGAACATGTTACACCCACATCTCACATCTCCACATCATCAGACCATGTCACAGCATCAAAATGATAGAAGTCAATCTAATTTTCTGTTTCAGATAATTAGGCTGAATGTTTTGGTCAGCCACAGCCTCATGGTGATTACTGTCATGGCTGAGAGGCAGCAGTAATGTGCTGACATTAATTACTCCATACATCCTGACCTACATCTGTGACCTATATGTCCATTATAGGGTAATATATATATGTAGACTTTCCACTACATCAACTGTGATTATACAGTTAGTAAAGCAAACTTTGACAGTGACAATGTTAATTACGTCATTAGAACAGATTAAAGTGGGATTCAGATAAACACTAACAATGACTAAAGTTAACTAAACAAATGAAACAAAGAAAAATGAGATCCAGGGCACAGGCTGAGTGTGACCATCAAAGTTGTGAACCTAGCAATGATGATTTTTAAAGACGTAACATGAAACCAGTGAATTGATTCTCATCAGCAGCATGGGGGCAGTGGGAGGGGTTTGGCTGAGTGTCTTCTACCTCGTTCTATCTGCTGTGTCAAATATTGCAACACTCTGCTTTATGTGAATCCAAGCTCATCTGAAAGTAATGTCAAATAGACACACTGCGTGTGACATTTGTTTTTGTCTCGTGCACAGTTTCCTGTATGCATCTGAGTTTTGACTTCAGTGTCAAAGAATCTCCCTAAATAGTGACAATCTTGCTGACTGTCCAACAAAC